TTCGACACATTAAAAACAATTTGTTGTGTGGGCATTCAGATAAGTCTCCCGTTACAAATGAACATAAGGAGAAGAGGAATGGATATGGATACTAGATGCCCGGTATGCTGGAGACTAAACGAATATGAGGCACTGTTTCTCAAAATGCAAGTTTGTTGTTAAGTGTCGGAGAGAAGCTGTACTTGAGGACATACGGATTGAACTGCTTCAGAAAAATCAGCGACCGAAGTGATTTTGGCCATCCTGTCACTATGCGAGGAATTATGCTTGCGGGTGGTTATGCTCCTATACTCATGGTGGGAGGCTCGGAATAAAGCAAATGCAGGTGAGGGTTTGTGTTCTCCAGGCCAGGTTCTTCATCGTGCATCCATGCTAATGATGAAATCTAGGCCAAAAGAAGAGGCGAACAAGAGCTCACGTATACCTGAGACATAGACTCGGCCACCGAGGGATATCCTCAAGGTAAATTGCGATGGAGCCTTCTTTGCTGGAAATAAAGACAGGTAGCTGGGGTTTTGTCATTCGCGACCATAATGGCCACGTGGTTGTGGCGGGATCTGGTTCTTTAGGAGCAGTTCATGATGCTGATTGTGCTGAAGCTCAGGCCTGCATTGCAGCTTTGCAAGCGGCGTCGAGCCATGGTATGGGAAAAATTATACTTGAAACTGACTCAATGAACACGATGAGTGCACTTTCAGTCGGATGAGCATGATCTTAGCCCTGCATCCGTCCTCTACAAAGAAGCAGGGGAGCTGATTTCATTATGTTTTGTCTCAGTACAGATTGTTTATTGTCCTAGATCTTGTAATAGGAGTGCTCATGAACTCGAACGTTTGAGTCTAGATTGGGACCCGGATCAACCTCATGTTTTGCTTGATCCCCTCCCGAGTTTTGTATCTGATATTTTGGTTCGCGATTCCGCTGAACCCGGTGTGAATGAATAAATAGACTCGGGGCGTTGTTTCAAAAAAGAATAACACATGCCATACGCAAATTACGTAGATCACAGCTTCATATGTGGTAGCGTTTGAATTCTATGGGATTTTATTATCCATATTCCTAGAACCCAGATTCTGCATACTAAAATTCCCTACCTGTTTGGACCTTTGGATTCTACTTGTTGTAGATTATAGTCATCTCAAGCATCTTTCTCCAAAATGCCCTCAACCTTACATCTCATGTCCAGACAAGTAAGTGAAACACACACACATGCGCCATAGCGTCCAAATTTACATATAGACATACATATTATTCTACCAATTACAAATCCACAAAAGAACCTAAACATTTATATAGTCCATACAAATATTCTCTTACATTCACGACCGCATCGCAATATTATCACCGCTTGATTATCCGTGAACACATTCGTGTCTTCATCTTCGTCTCCCAATTGAGAATTAGCACCGCTTGATTCCATTAAAAAATGGGAGGAGCACCAAGGCACCGGACATTGCAAATGGCATGTAATTTTCATCACAATCACACATGTCAAAGTCCGCATCGGTCATTGCACTTTCACGAATAAAGCTATGCAGGGCCAAGCAAGCAAGTATTATTTCGATTGTTTTCTCGTTGGATAACTTGGTAAGTCTAACAATATCCACCACTTCATTTTTTTGAACACCGAATGATCTTTCAATCACGTTGCGTAGCGACGAGTGCACAAAATTAAATACCTCTTTTTTCCACTTGGTCTTGCTCCTTGTCGAAACTCTGGTAAATGATACTTTGTTTTTTGTACGGTGCAAGATATCCAGGTCGGTTTGGGTAGTCTGAGTCCACAGGATAAAAAATTCCTAAATTAAAAAATACTGCCACACATGATCGAATAAACTTTAAATAAACATATGAGTTCAAACAAAGTCCGACGCACTGATCAACAGCAATGTTCAAATAATGGATAGCCCTAGAACGATAGGGTAGCAAATGATTCTTTCTAACATGTGGTCAAATAATAAAACCAGATAGACATACAACAGAAGAGCATGGAGTAGTGATGAAATAGCAAAAAGAAAAGTTATCTTCATACATCTAAATGCTTGGCAGCTAAAAAATTAGGTACTGTTAATACATATGCGCACTAAATGTAACCCTGTTTGGAGAATCAATCATGGAATATATTGTCAATCGAACAATGTTTATAGCTTGATTTTCGGAAGAACTGGTTATGACTTTTGAGAATAGAATCATAGGGCCTGTTAGTGATTCAAATCCAAAATTGCATACAATAGTTAGCAATTTGAACTAAGAAAAAGAACACCCTGAAGTCTCTTCTTAACATGAGCTGCAGTACTCCAAGTATGAAACTTATGGGTAAATCAATCTAAGTGAGGATCAAACACGTGTATACTTGAAAGTTGAAATAACAACCGTGATTAGGCTACTTTCAGCTTGACAATAAACCAATCAACCATTAATCCAATCAACTAAACAACACGTATGCGCGCATGGGAACCAGTTAAGTTTGGGGGTAGGATCGTGGGGAGGCACTATGTCCAATGCCTGCAATGGTTCAGACTTTCTGTTTCCGTTTGATTTTTCATTTTTTTAAGTGTGCAAAACTTGGTTCCAGCTATAACCTAATAATAAAAGTTATTGAATCTATTCTATTTTTTAAATAGTTAAGCACTTATGCTAGTATGTAATTCAAAATAAAGTAATTAATGACTCTATACACCTATACCATTAAGAATATGATCTAAAGTAGATCTAAATTTGCATCAGTTACCCATGTCCTCCTATTACAGTTTACGTGAAATTGGCCTAAAATGTTGTAGGCTTGTGACTATTAGCCGAAGATATATGTAGATTTGTGGATTTAATCTTTTTTTGTTGTCAAATAGGAGCACCAAGAGATTGAAGCTACTCCGTTAAAAAACGGGAGGAGCACCAAGGCACCTAGTCATCCAGAAGATCAGAATTTGCTCAAACGGACTTGCTAGAAAGCAAAAAGCACAAAGCTAACTAAGCTCACTAGCAAGCGCCTAATTGGATGTCCGATCTAACAAGGGCGCTAGCATCAAGGACGATGCCCACGCTGTAATGGGAATACAAACCAGCGGGAAGAACAAGGTTGAGCGATGATTTTTCTCCCGTGTTTGCCACAGGAGCCCACGCCGTCTATTTTCTCGTGTGCCCAACGCGTGAGGGGGCCCCATGCTCGCAATGCCCCTCTCATTTTCTGCGCGCTGGCTTCGGGCTTCGACGACGCCTCTAGTAGAGTAACAAGCGAGCCAAGCGACCACCTAGTGCCACTCGATGCAACCTCACGATGCAATCGCACTAGAATCACCCAGCACTCACTTGCATGGACACTAAGGAGGTGCTCTGACAAAAGGGTCCCATTACAACATGTGCACCACCAAATCTACTTTTGCAACATCTAGGTGAAAATACTTGCAATATACGTTCAAAAATAGTTGAAACACTTGCAACATACGTCTGGAACACCTGCAAAACACTTGTAAGCCATTGCAAACGTATGCAACATTGAGATAAAACACTTACAACAAACGTATGAAACACCTAAAAATTTGAAACATACGTTTGCAACATGCATGCACATGTAACATCCAGATCTATTTTTGAAACATCCCGATAAAAACAATTGCATGTGACAACATATGATCCGTCGTGATGAGTCTTGCTCAAGATGAAACAATTGTAACGGTCCATCAAGCCAAGTCATGTCTTGAAACACTACTCATGTATAGCCATTCACAACATGTGCAACATCTTGATCTACATTTTGCAACATCTTTATAAAAACACAATTAGTCCAACATACAATTACCAAAACCAACAAACACCTAAACCACTTGGAAAATAGCGCTGGATGTCCGATCTTTGCAACATACTATTTTCTCGTGTGCTTTCATTTTTCGTGCTGGCTTCGACGGCGCGCCCTAGCAAACATCTTACAACATGTGCACCACCAAATCTACTTTTGCAACATCCGGTGAAAATAGATATCGCTCATAGTTGAAACACTTGCAACATACGTACGAAAGGCAAAACACTTGTAAGCCATTGCAAACGTATGCAACATTGAGATAAAACACTTACAACAAACGTATGAAACGCCTAAAAATTTGAAAAATACGTTTGCAACATGCATGCACATGTAACATCCAGATCTATTTTTGAAACATCCAGATGAAAACAATTGCAACATACGTCTGATACAGATGAAACAATTGTAACATACACTGGAAACATACTTGTATAGCCATTGCAACATGTGCAACATCTTGATCTACTTTTGCAACATCGTTATAAAACACTTGCAACATACCTCTGTAACACCTAAACCACTTGGAAAATACGTTTGCAACATAAGCTTTCAGTGCAAACATCTACTTGTTGCTTCGGCAAACATCTACTTGTTGCTTCGACGAACAGAGGCTCATCGGCGCATAGAGGTCATTGGTGTGCTCGCCGACAGCGCGGTGCTCACTAGCAACACAGAGTGGCGGCGAGCATGGCGCAGAGGGCTAGATGGGGCGGTGTGCTCACCGATAAGGGCAGCGGTGACACGCAGCTAGATGGGGCTGGCACGGGCAGCGGTGACGAGAGAGGGCGGGTGGGTGCGGCGCGGGTGGCACAGACAGTGACTGGAGCGTCGTGATAGAGCGTTTCCGATTGCTCAAATGCTTGACACTTGACCGAGGTACATGGGCTCGATTCGGCCCATGATCACGAAACCAGTACTATATGGGCTCTACCTGCCATGTCCATTGCTACTGGGTCTCCGTTTCGTCCAACAGACCCAACGCACAATACCTGGCCCACCACCTGATCCAAATAGAGGGGCCAGCCGAGCCCAGCCCACCCCAACTTCCAACTACTTCTTCTCTCGGCGAGTCGGCGTCGCCTAGTCATCACTCACAGTCACTCATCAAGTCATCGGTGTCCTTCCAGATCCCACCGCGCGTCTCCTGCTGCGACGACACGCGCACCATAGCCCGTCGCGTTCGTCAACGGTCGACCCATCGCCCATGGGAGGGAGGCACGAGGCGGAGGCGGACGGCGGAAAGGCCGGGGGCTACTCTTCCTCCGGCCTCCCGCCGTCGGAGCCGCAGCACCTGAAGGGCCAGCCGCCGCAGGAGTACGGGTACGGCACGTTCCAGGGCCCTCGGCAACCTCCCGTCGGGTTCCCGCAGCCTGCCCCGCCTCCCGGGTTCGGCGGCGGCGGCGGCGGCTATCACCAGCAGCAGCCCTACGCGCCCGCGGAGCCGTACTACGCCCAGGGGTACCAGGCCGTGCCAGGTATGGTGGGGGTCTTCTCGGTCGCTGAGATTGTTTGCTCGCGCTGCTTAGCTTAGCTGTGTGATGGGGAAAAGATGCAGCTGGGGGTGCGAGTGCGATTCGAAGTATTTACGAGGCTTTCATGGTGGGATTGTTTGATTGATTATGTTGGTTCATGATCGTATCTTCCAAGTGAGGCAAACCGGCAAATTCACAGCTTATAACTGCCAGCTGATGAACCGATTCAGAACCTTTGTATGCTCCATGTTAGCACTTGTTCTTTGGTAGACTGCAATTAATGTTAGCAGTTGTATGCTCCATTCAACTGTTGTTGAGCTACCGCAGCTGTGACCACTAACTATAACGTTAATTGAGATGTTGGTAGTGACATTGGAGACATTTTTTGATAGAAGAAAACTGGCAAAGACATATAATTCATCTATTCTAAGATGATTGGATCCACTGACCAAAAGCGATTGTGATGCGCTCGCTGATGATTGCCAATCTGGTGAATCGATTCAGAACCTTAGCACTTGTTCTTGGGTGGACTGCAAATTTTCATAATGAAAACTGGATTGATTTCAATCTTCAAACTAGTTGTGCTACATTTACCCACTGTTCAACTGCTGTTGTTGTGATCCCTAGCTATATAACATTAATAATTGATTGAGATGTTGTTCGTGACATTGGAATTTTTCTGATGGAAGCAAAGATATACAATTCTGCAATTCTGAGATAATTGAATCCATTGACCAAAAGCGATTGTGACGGGCCAATGACTTCTGGTTTATGAACACATACAAGAAATGAACTAGCTAACTACACTGTGGTGATAACGAATAAATGTGTGCCGACAATGAAAAATAGAAATCTATGTTAATGATCATATAGTTTTTGATATGTTAATGATCATATGGTTTTTGGTCCCTTAGGCTATGGCCCTGTTGCTGAAGGAAGACCTGTGAGAATGAGGCGTGTCCCATGTTGTGGCCTCGGCTTAGGCTGGTGTCTGTGAGTGTCTGCCTCTGTAAATGTGTTATTTCCCTGTATTTTCTGAAGTCATACAGCACTACTAACAAAGTTCATTTCTCTTCCTCAAACAAGGTTCATTACTGGGTTTTTCCTTGCTGCCATTCCATGGTACATTGGAGCTTTCGTTCTGATATGTGTGCGGGTACATGACCAACGAGAGAAACCAGGATATGTTGCTTGCACAATTGCTGTAAGTTCCTTTCTATTAATACAATGCAACACTGCTGCTTATCTCACCTCTGGAATTTGAGATTGAGCTGCATGGAAATGTGGAAGCAAACTGTTTGATTAATAGTCTTTGCTGTACCAATTGAAACGAAAAAAAAGGATAAATGTACTACCAGTTGAAACGAAAAAAAAGAATAAATGTACTAAACATACCTAGTACTTATTACTGATTTTAAATTGCAATCTGCTGAAAATTTACATTTAACTGTACAGGACTGCTAAACTGTTGAATATGATTGTTTGCTGGCTATATCATTTTTTCTTAATTCCTTCTTCTTTTGAATCTCAAGCTGATTTTGCTTCAAATTTGACGTGACAGGCCGTTGTTGCTGCCGTTGCCATCCTCCTGGGGGTAACTAAAGGAACACACGTGTGGTGAATTGCCTCCAGAGAAGGCAATGGATGTATACTTGCGTTGTATATCTGTGTGTATTAAAAGTGTGGAGCAACATCCATGTGCTCTTATGTCCATATATATTGTACTTTGTAATGAAATTTTAAATGTAGTAATGTACCATCTGCTTCTTGTAAGCAGCACTGCATCATATCATATAATAAGATACCTTGTGTAAAATTGCGGATTTTCTGTTTTCCAATGAATTGTCAGATGCAGCACTGGTCCACTGGACAGCCTCAGACATTATACAATACATCAAGGGTCAAGAATCCCCAGAAAGTAGATAGGCTAAAAAGCAAGGTAGAAAAAAATCAGAAAAATGAAAAACACAACAAATGAGCCTCTAGCTAGACCAATTTATTGTTGCCGAGATAACAGCCCAATATCTTATCGGCCCAGTACACTACTTCGACTCGAACAAACTGATCAAGCATTCAGGCCCACAATACACGGCCCGTTAGGGTTTCTCGCCCCAGCACATAAATACTACTTCGCCTCCGGGTCCTCCCTAGTCGGCCGCCATCTTCCCTGTTAGGTTTTAGGAGACCTTCGCCGCCCCTCCGGCCTCGCGAGCTCGCCGAAATGGTCGCCCACAGGGTAAGCCTACCGCCGCCGTCTTCTCCACCTCCTCTTGTCTTGATCCACCGCATATTTGCTGTTCCCGGTTTGGCTGATCTCCTAATTTCTTCTGTGATCCGTTTCGGCGCGGCAGTTCCATCAGTACCAGGTGGTGGGTCGCGCGCTGCCGACCCCGACCGATGAGCACCCCAAGATCTACCGCATGAAGCTCTGGGCCACCAACGAGGTTCGCGCCAAGTCCAAGTTCTGGTCAGTGCCGTACACTCTCGGGCCGATGTTAGGATTCTATAATTGCTTTTTCGGTGCGGGTTTCTGACGATGGCGTCTCGCTTGTTTGCGCGCAGGTACTTCCTGAGAAAGCTCAAGAAGGTGAAGAAGAGCAATGGCCAGATGCTCGCCATCAACGAGGTACAACCAATCCTTTCTCTTATTGTGAACGTGGCTATGCTTTATGAATTGGTGTGGATCTATAGATAGGTGTCGTTTGTGTGTTTCCATTGCTGATGTTATGTCGTGAAGTATATGCCCTTCCTGGCCGTATTAGTGATAATGCATCTCACTTCATCATTTGATTAGTTACAAGTTCAATATAGATAAAAGGTATATGCGATCAGTGATTCTTCAGTAAGAGCTCAAAATCCATAAATTGTACAGATGGCTCTCGTTTCAATTTGGGGGGCTCTGAATTTGTCAATCGTGTGGGGGAGCTGGTTTGCTCTTTGATTATTTGTGCAAGTAGGCGCTGTTCTACATGAAACTGTGGTATCGAATACTTCCATATTAAAGAATTGAGGGAGGCACATGTGTTCCACTTTTCAGCATTAGGGCGCTTAAAACTTGTAGAGCTGCTAATGTTCAATTCATCTGAAAATCCTGTTGCAGCTATGACAGTGTCCAGTGTTGAAACATATGTTCCCTACCGTACTTCGTGATACATAAGAACCTTGATGCCGTGATTTTGTTACATGTAGTGGTCTGGCATCATATTGAGGTGGCAAACTTACAATAAGCTGAGTCAGTAATGTCTGTTGAATGGTGCTTAGCTATTTAGCAATTTTGTTAGTTGTTGAAGGGTTTCATTGGTGTCATTTTCCCCCTAGCTTGCCTTAGATATAGCCAGAGCTGGATGAGGCAATCCCACTTGTTCTCTTATGTTTTATTTGTCCATATCTGCTTCTTAATATGCTTGATGTTTCTCAGATCTTTGAGCGCAACCCAACCACTATCAAGAACTATGGCATCTGGCTGCGTTACCAGAGCAGGACAGGTTACCACAACATGTACAAGGAGTACCGTGACACCACCCTGAACGGTGCCGTGGAGCAGATGTACAATGAGATGGCCTCCCGCCACCGCGTGAGGTCCCCCTGCATCCAGATCATCAAGACGGCGACGGTCCACTTCAAGCTGTGCAAGAGGGACAACACCAAGCAGTTCCACAACTCTAAGATTAAGTTCCCGCTCGTGTACCGCAAGGTGAGGCCGCCCACCAGGAAGCTCAAGACCACTTTCAAGGCGTCCGAGGCCCAACCTGTTCATGTGATAGGCGTCGTCAGATTATCGTACCTGTGTGTTCTGTGTCTTAGCGCCTGAGAGATAAAAGATTTTGCCTGTGCAAGTTTTGGTGCCCCGTGGATTGAGCACTTTGATGTTTCCAGTTACGGATTTGAATGATGCTATGCAAACCCATGACTTTCGTCCAATTAGTTATCAGCAGACTGGTATTTACTTGCCCTGTCTCCCTTGCTGCCATTGTTGGTTCTCGGTGCGTTTACTCTTGTCTAAAATTGCCTGATTGTCTGATAGTTCGGAATTTCTTATTTTGTACTGTGGCCCCGCTGTTTGCCTGCAGCCTGCAGGATTTTCGATTTGAAGTTCTTTTAGCAAACTTGTCGCCTCTCAAGACCGCTAACCTGTGGTTGTATGCCGTGGGTTTGGAACCCTCTTAGTTGGCCTCATTCGTTTTGCTGAAAAAGCTAAGCTGAAACACTGTTTTGTTCTGGCTGAAAAGACCAGACGAAAAGTATGAAAGTACGGATTATAAGCATACGGATTATAAGACAAGCGGATGAACAGGGCCGTTATCATTCAGAAGAACAGTAAGGGCCTACGAAAGCTGCTGAAGCCGTACCACATTCCAGTGGCTTACCTGCTCGAGCTCTAGTACTTTGCAGCAGAAGCCGTTTCTCATAGAGGTTTAGTTCAGCTATAGAGAAGCCAAAGCTGCTCAAAAGCCTTGCTAACGAGGCCCGAAGGTAGGCTGCTGCTGAAATGATGCACATTTGGACGTGGAAAACGTCGGCAGCCCGTCAAGGCGACATCAGCGGCGGATGTGCAAGGTTGCATAGCGCACTACTAGTAGATGTGTAGATGCTGCTAGCGACGTTTGGGCAGGGCCAGGGCATCAGACTTTCCCAGGTCGGGGCTCTTCACCTAACCACCCGAAAGCAAGCCGCATCGGCTGCTCAGGGCGTCCGTCCATGGTTTGGTTTGGTTTCAGCCTTTCAGGCTGCTTGCGGAAGCAGATCCTGGTGAACCATCGCTGGCGTTGGCGGCTGCCTGTGAATTATTCCGGTTCTTTTTTTTTTATGATTTGATATCGACCAACGGAATGGTGGTCGTTGGAAAGCAGATTAGAGGCATGATTACGATGACAAAGTCAGGTGACTCCATTTTCAGTGAACCATTCACGGCCAATTTGCATTGCAGCGTAGAGGCCATGATCACACATGGTGAAGCAGCAGTGGCAAGACGGTAGAGGTAGGCGAGAGACGAGAGGCCTCTGTAGTCTGTAGTCTGTAGCCTATATACCTGTACGCCCAGAGACTCTCAGACATTTTGCACCCAAAAGCAGCAGACAACGCGTGGTCTGGTTTTCCCTGCTGTCAAAATGAAACGATCATTTGTGGTGCTTTTGGCATTCTGAAAACTTCAACCTCGCCTGTACAAACTCCTACTGTACAAGGTAAAGGGTCACTGTGTGGTGACTGGTGAGTGATTGGCACACGGATGGAGATCCCAGTAGGGGCTGCCCCACCTCGCGCGCGCTTTTCCTTCCACTCGAGATCGGTCCGGGGGGGGACTCGAGTGCACGCTGGCCCATCGCACAATGAGTGCAGCCGCAGAAAGAAACAATTCGACACATATCCATGCCATTTCTGAACCCCAATTTGTGTCCTTCAGTTTTCTCTACAGTAAAGTCTGAACCGCGGATGGTGTGCACTGCATGTGACCGTATGCGCGACTACAGTGCGAGTGCACGTATGTGCAGTGCACTAGTGCAGCAAGGCCTTGTGTTTGTTGGGTTCTTGGCGGCCTACTTTCCCATCCCAAATGGCAGCGATGAGATGCATGGAGAGGAATGGGAGACCATTGCGCCTCACTGTCTGTCCCAGAGAAACGGCTAAAAAGGAGGATGAAGGATGAGCTGCTCTGTCGGTTGGCCATTACAATAAGACTGCATAGACACAGCCAACAGCCATAGTGCTTCAGTTATCTCGCCCCCCAATAGTTGCCTCTATATATATCATAATCATACATACATAAATAAAACACGCACCCTAGATACCGTATCCGGCATGCCACAGCACCTAGGGCAATGTAGTTCCACAAGAAGAAACCTCGAAACTCTACACAACTAAATCCTGCGGCAAGTGGCAACCAAACAAAGAGGAGGCTATTATTGGGCACTGACCATGGTGCCAAAGCTCGTCGCTTTCCCGCCGGTACAGCCAAAATCCTCTCTTGACCATCCCTGTCTGCGGCTGACAGGGACTTGTTAACAGATCCTCCCATTAGCAACAACTACTACAAGATGTAGGCATGTAGCTTTGCGTTCATCAGCCATGCATGCAAATCCCTCTCCCCTGCTGCTTGGTCAGCACCTCCTGCTTTTCCAGTGAGAATCACATGAGATATTACAAAGCGATGCCTACTTCATCACTAACCCAAAGGAAAAACAAAAGATGGAGCAAAATTTGATGCCATGATGGCTACTTGTGAGCAGAAATGTATGTACGAGGGAGTATAGTTGGCCAAACGGGCCGCCCGGCACGGCCAAACGGGCCGCCCGGCACGGCACTAGCACGGGCATGGCCAGGCACGGCACTACGCGGCACGGTAGACTAGCCGTGCCGTGCCTGTTAGTGCCGCCGTGCTGAGGTACCGGCCCAGACACGGCACTATCAGGTCTTAGCCGTGCCACTGGGCACGGCGGCCAAGCAGTGCCCGTGCCGGCATTGGCACTATAAGTGCCCAACACCTCAAACTGATCAGAATATCAGGGACAATAACTTCATCATCTCAATCTTAAGTTACATGTTCTTAAAGTATCAGAATATCATAATATCACAATAACTTCATCATCTCAAGCGTCTCGTCGTCGGATCCAACCATCGTCACTCGTCGGCGCCCCAGTCCCTCAACGGTTTCAGACAAAACAGAGCAAGGGTTAGTAGAGATCGAGGGTTAGGGTTAGGGATTGAGCAAGGGTTAGGTCGACGGTGACTTACCTTCAAAGCCGGAGCACCAGAGTCGCCGGCGAGGTTGACGAGGCACGGATCTGCCGAGGTCGACGACGAGGGATGGATCCGGCGAGGAAACCGACGGATCCGGCGAGGTCGACGACGGATCCGGCGAGGATGAAGCGAGATCAAGGTTTAAGGTTAGGGATTGAGCTAGGGTTAGGGTTAGGGATTGTGCCAGTGCCGGCCAGCGGTGGCTCCAGAGGCCACCGGAGAGCGAGAAGAAGAGAGGAAGTCGGAGGCGAGAGAGGAGAGCGAGTCGCCGACGCGGCGACGCGGCGACGCCGACTCGCCGAGAGAGGAGCGGGCGAGACGGCGCTGCAGGGGAGAGCCGAGAGCGAGGCGAGAGAGTGAGAGCAAATGAATTAGGGCGACGGAGCGAGACGCGGCCGACCGGCCGGGACGGGCGGTTTTATACCCCCTATTTCAACGGCCGGATCCAACAGTCCGATGGAGCAAGGCCGGAGATCCAACGGTGACGAGCCGTGCTGCTGCGGGGCTGGCCCATATAGCGTGCTGTGCCCGGGCTGACACTACAGGTCAGAATGGCGGCCCAGGCACGACACTAAGACCGGGCCGTTCCTAGGCCGTGCTATTTAGTGCCGTGCTTGGGCCGGCCCGTAGTGCTGGGGTCAAATGGCCAACTATACGAGGGAGGCGTCTTGCTTGCACATCGCCATGCATGCACACACAGCACAGAGACCGGGGGAGTTGGCAACTTGGCATGGCATCCAACATGCAGGCATGGAGTTGGTGGGAGACCGGCTGGGAGGGCACACACAGCACACGCTCGCTGCTGCCTGCTGGACCGAGATCTCACTAGCTCCCGTCAAAGATCGAGGTGATGGTGTCTGTAATCTTTGCACTACCATCCCGCTGTTCAAGCAATCTCAAGCTCAACTGTTCCACAGCGTAGATTCAGATCCTGGGTTCTCGTTGCGGCGACACCGTGAGCAAATGAAAAATGTTTGCAGGTTTGGCTGCAAATGTACACGTGTGTGAACTTAGGCCTCCTTTGGCACGGCTCATCCAAAACGGCTTCACCGGTGAAGCTATAAAAACTGTCTTTTCCCGACTTCTAGTTCATTTTAACCCCGGCTTACAAAACGGCTTCACGCTACGGTGTCTCGATTTACGCAAAATAGATGAAGCCGAAGCCGGCATAAGCCATGCCAAAGAGGCCTTTACATGGGCAGATTAGGTTCTGGCAGCATTCTGTCATCACAATATAAGGTACTCCTAGACAGTGACCAAATCCTACAGTATCTTCATCATGATGAAATAAGTAGATCATTATGTCGAAATCCTATAACATTCTTGCTAGTTCTGCATGCAAAACCGAAGCTAAAACAGAAATGAACAGGTCTGTGAATGTATGTATGATGTTTTTGACAGAAATTCAGGCCTCATTTCATTCACCAAGAGCTAAACGTATCAATACAGTTAGGCAGTACTGTCATGGCCATATCTGAAGAAAAAAAAAAGCAGGACGACGATGCAATGCTGCCTGCCTGTGCTGGTCTGGTCTAGAAGGTTTAGTTAGCCTAGCCACTGGACCTCGCTAGACAACTTGCCTACAATGCCTTTTGCTTTTCTGAAACCTTGCCTACAAACTTCAACAGTTGATACCCTACTTTCAGTCTTGTGCTTTTGCAAATTTTCCTGGATGCTGATACATACAGGAGCAGCCAACAACATCTTGGTGCTTCCTGCTGCACCACCACAACACAAAGCCGTCCTTTCACACCATCATACCGCAGAGCTGTCAAACCGTACCCTCAAAGCTCAAAGGAGCTAAAGAGCGCCCATTCATCTATCTCCGATTCCATCCCCTCCCAAGTCCCAACAGCACAAAAGTCCACCGCACTATATTATCGCTAGGCGGCAAAAGCAGTAGCAGCTGCTCATATCCAAATCATTCACTGGACAGCCCTCCCAAGTTATTCCCTGAGACTGGCCGATCACATTCTGTTTCTTGAATTCCTTGGAGGATTCTTTCATTCATCTGCAAGTCATCTCGGAAGACCAAGACCGCGGCGTCGCCGCATTGCGCGGAGAATTGGAAGAAAGCCTCGGTTTTGTGCTGTTCTTTTTGTTCATTCTTCAGTGAAGATAGGTTTCTCCAGCTCTCCTTGAGTTCTTGTAATGCCTGTACATAAAGGCCGGAAGGGCTTGGAAGAAAGGAATGACTTGAGGTGATAGTGTGTGTGACAGAGAGAGGGATTGTGAAAGGCTGAGAGCTCCTCTTGTTCTTCCTCTGCCATTGTTTTATTTTTCCTTTTTGAGGGCTGTTCTGGAGCTCTGTTTTCGTTGTTTCTTGCCACCTTTTGGCGTTCGTTTCTGCCGAGGAGAGACTGCATTGAGAAGCAGCAATGCTACTGTTCAGGAGAACAAGACTGCTCCTTGCATCTGCAGGTTGTGTGATTCTCATGCTTCTCACACCAACTCATGGTAGCTCAAATCCAGAGCAGAGCTACAAGATGGCTCAGCCTTTGGAGGTAATTTCCATGCCCTCTACTACTCCTGAAAGCTGAAACTGCCACCAAATTTTTCCTCACTCTGTTCAACTTTACCAGAATCTGAATATCTGACAGACAGTAGAAGCTGTGTTGTATTACTGACTGCGACACCTGGATTGATCTTGCAGCTCACACCCAAGCTCTCGCTGCAGCTCAAGCTCCATGCCTTCCTGCTCTGGTCTTCAGTTGGCTTCCTGATGCCGATCGGGGTGCTGCTCATCAGAGCTTCCAGCAATGTCAAAAGCACCAAAGGCGTCAGGTTCCTCTTCTACTGCCACGTCGCTTCCCAGGTCTGTGAGACTGTGACATGAGCTCCATTTCCTGCAACTGCAATCGCCATCAGATATTCACATGCAATGCAATCCTCGCAGATCGTCGCCGTCGCTCTCGCCACCGCTGGTGCAGTCCTGTCGATAAGCAACTTCGAGAACGCCTTCAACAACACGCACCAGAGGATCGGGCTGGCCCTGTATGGCTTCATCTGGCTCCAGCCGCTCGTCGGCTTCCTGAGGCCGGACAGGGGGGTGAGGACGCGGAGCGCGTGGTACCTGGCGCACTGGCTCCTGGGCGTCGGCGTCTGCGTCGTCGGCGTCGCCAACGTCTACATCGGCCTGCACACGTACCAGGAGCGGACCGGCCGGAGCGCGCGGCCGTGGACACTGCTCCTCACCGTCGAGGTGGCGGCCTTGGCGTTCGTGTACCTCGTCCAGGACCGGTGGAGCTACGTGGTGCGGCAGCAGGAGGAGGACGCCGCCGTCCCCGGCGACGAGCGGAGCGAAGGGTCCACCATGTACCCGGCGAACGATTACAAGGAGGTCGTCGTGGTGCCGTAGTCGCCTTGCTGACTCGTGACAGGTCCCCACCCCAGATTACGCTAGTTTAGCCGACGACCCGTCGAGCGGATGGGTTGGAATTCCATGGATGCCGTCTTTGGGAGCTTGCATTTGTACAGGTTCATAGAAAGGAGGTGATGTGTTTGAACGAAGAACAACCTGAGTTCGGTTGTTTTTCATTTCAACTCAGTCTCTGAAAGATAAAGCCTGTTCGGCCGGTGATGATACGATCGTGGATTATTACTGGTTGATTTGGTGTGAGAGAAAAATACTGTTCTGTTTTATAATCTATGATCGTTTACGACCAAACGAACATATTATCTTCAGGATTTTGGAGACATATGAATTAAATGCTCTAGTATCTTGAATCCTATAGATCGAACCAATAAAACTGCAGGATCGAATGTTTGGACGAGGCACGGGAAGCTTAGCTCAGTTGGTTTGGTTTTTTTTTTAACCTGCTCATCTGGATTTAAGTCCTGGACTTACACGTACGGGTGTTCGTATTTTTCTGAATTTATTTTAGGATTTAATGGCGTTATGCTTTCAGTGGTAGGCGACGTTTCCATCGACAGCGAGGTGCCTGTGGTAACTTCGTCAATCTCGAGATGTGCCGGCACGGTCTTAGAGGTGCTCATAGGGTAAGGTTTATGTGCGTGTATTCATAGGGATGAGTGTGTGTACGTGTAATTCGTAAAAAAAAAAGAATTCGATAAGACAGACCAACATAAAGGTTTTCATGAGGTTCAACTTCTTGGTAGAATTCTTAAAATCTCTAAGAAACAAGCAATTCCATAGAAATTTGATAGGATTTATTCTTTGAAAAAAAAGTTGATAGGATTTTTGCAACCCAATCCCTTGTTTCAAAGGGCTTGATAGAAAATTATCTATAGGATTCCAAATTTCCAATCCTCTAGAATTCCTACATTTTTTCTTCGTTTCAAAGCGGGCCTTGTACAGCAGTGTGATGCTTGCGTCACGTTTCTCTTGGGTGAATAAAGAGATTTGCCTATCCCCAATCTTCCGCGATCTTTGATCATTGCAGAACTGAATGAATAAGGAGATTGGAGATTACCCGGAAGAGAGTGCTGACTGGGTGGAGTGCAAACGGCACGTCACCTGGGAACGCACAGAAGATTTATTTGTGTGCGCAGAGATGCAAACACCGGCGACCAACAATCGTTCTGGCGGCCGACACCCGTGCGCGACGCCGAACACAAGTCAACGAGCATGGACATGGAGCGGCGCCGGCGTTGAGCGGCAGTGGCGCCGCATCGGGCTGTTTCAGAGTCCAAGCAACACCAACAGCAATGTTGATGCGTGAGACCGAGCCTCAGCTCGAGTGGCTAGCGGCGGCAGTGGCCACGCAGCCGGCACAGGTCCGATTCCCGGAATCGACCTGCGTCTCTCACTGGACTAGCTCTCAGAATAAAATCTACATCCTCGTCTCGTTACGATGGTTTCGATGATCTCTAGAATGATGCAGTCTTCTACTCTATGTGTAGATGTAGGTCTAGTTGGGACGTGGTCTTCTACTCTATGTGTAGATGTAGATCTAGGCAGGACACGGTCTTCTACTCTGTGTGTAGATGCAGGTCTAGTCGTGTGGTGTGTGTGGATGCCTGCGTGCATGTGTTTGAACAGATGCTACAACTGTCCTAGATGAGAGGCTTAAAAAAACAATGTTGATGCAGAAACGTAAAAACGCCAATTATCCTGGCAAAATTATAGGGACACGAATGTTGAAAATTGATTCAGCCCATTAACTGGAACAGGACCAAACAAACAGGAGTATGAAATAAAGGGTAGCAGCTTTCACTACACAGTGAAGAAATTTAACCAGAAACAACACTCCATTGTATTGGCTATTGCATAAGCCCGGCTTGGCAAGCAACAAGTTCTGGAGGTCCGGAGGACAGCTTAGCGAAAGGAAAGGATAAGCGTATTTCACCTATTTAGCCAAGTTTGGAGGTATGTTTCATCATTAACCAAACGACTCTGGGTACTACCACCAATATCCTACTGGAACTATTGAACCAATAGCACATCAGTTTCATCCGAACAAGACAGAAATCACGCCGGTTCCTTGGATGAGCCATGTTCAGCATGCTTTGTATGATTATATGATGAAAGCGAAGAATGCTTCAGTAGAGAAAGCGTCCCGACAGCGTTTCCGTTCGGTCTGTCTTGTAGCTCAACGCACGCCCTCATCCCCTGCGAACGACGAGTTCGTGGGGATGACCGAATATGTCACGGAATATTTTCACGACCTCCTCGTGGGAGAATCGGAGTCGCCCTCCGACTCTTACACCAGCAGGGGAGCCATCACCCATCGCGAGAATATTTTATAGCAGGTACCCCCGAGGGATACGTCGAAAGCATCCACGAGAGAGGCGCTACCCCAACAGACGACCTCGACAATAGGGTCGAGGGGGACACAGGGGCCCCACCACACCTGCAGGTAGAGCAACTGAGGGTGTGGCACTAAGAGCTCGAAGAAGGACGACTCCAGCTTGTAAGTGCAATCAAGCCCCAATGTGGGTTTTGGTATTGATGACCATAAAATTAGAGGACTAATGAGGTTTATCGAGATGACAAGCAGAGAATCGAGAAATGAGGATGATGTACAGGTTGCAGGTGTCCTAATTACAAAAGGTGGCCAGATCTAGCTCAAAGGAAATTTAAATTCTTTTATGTTTTGAAATTGAGTTTAGGGAAAGCCGTACTATTAAGAGGGATTTTAGGACAGTTGGTCAACTGTTGAACCAGATGCTCAAATTCACAGATTTACATCCTCTCACCTAGTCAAAACAGCCAGCCAAATTTCATATCATCTTACCTGTTTTGGCTAGGGCGGCGGTGCCACCCTGTTAAGAGCGGCAGTGCCGCCCTTAACTGGCCGTTGGGCTCGAGGGGTATTTATATCTTTCAGGCCCGGCCTACAACGGTCATCTTCTTCACTGAGTCATTCTGCTCGAAACTAGACAAAACCAAAGCTCACCTCTCTCCTCCATTGTTGCTCCTCCATTCCTCAAGCTAATTCTTGATTCCAACCATCAAAACTTGAGAGAAAAGGCAGCAAAACTAGATTGGAGAGAAGATCCACTGATTTCCAAAGTCTCGCGTGCTTCATCTTGTTTACTTGCTGGTTTACCTTATTGTTAGCTGTTGTTAGGGTTTAGTTGCTCGATCCACTTTTGTGTGAAGTTTCTGTGGTATTCAGTCTTTAAACTGGATCTTGTCTTTCTATTGTAGGATTAAGCAGCTAGTGGGGTCAGGTTTATCTCTGTAAAATCTCAACTGTGTTAGATTTATTTTCGTAGAGCGGCAGTGCCGCCCTCTGTTCTAACAGAGTTTTGAGTTGAATTTTTACAGGCCTATTCACCCCCCTCTAGGCCTTCTTTATCTTTCTGTAGATCCTACAAGTGGTATCAGAGCGAGGTTGCTTCGTATACGCTTCACCGTGTGAAGTATGGAAGAAGGAGAAGGTTCAAAGACCGTTCGCGTTGCGAACACAAGTGGTGTGCACGTCGAGGATGTCGGCAGCAACAACGAGCTATCCATGTCGACAGCAAGTGCTGCCACCATCAAAGAACCCAAGACCACCGATGCCGAACGAAAAAAGGTAAGAAAAGAAAGAAAAGCCGCCAAGATCACAACAAAAGAAGCTAGAGAAAAGAAGAAGGAAGAGCAGCGACTCAAAGACAAGAAGAAGAGAAAAGAAACTAGAAGAATCACAAGAGAGGCCAGAGCCAAGAGAAGGGCAGCAAGAGCTCAAGAGCAAGAGAAGAATGAGTATGATGCATCATCTAGTGAACTCTCTAGTAGCTCGGACGATGGAGATGATGATGTGTCATACCATGCTTCAAAAGATAGCAAGAAGGTGAAGAGAAAGGACAAGAAGAAGGATAGCGAGGACAAGGGCAGCAACAATAACAAGAACAAATATGCCACCGTATCCTTTAACTATTCTTATTTGTCTAATCATAATAAAAGGTCCTTTATCAATGTACCCGCGAGCAAGTTGCCTCATTTTGATGGAACAAACTTCGCCAAGTGGAAGCACTTGATGAGCGCCTATCTTGTAGGTCTTCACCCCGGTCTTTGGGAGATTGTAGTGAATGGATTGCAGCCACTGGAAGATCCCGAAGCGCCAACAAATGAGGAGCTAGCTGCTGTCCATCTAAATGGCTAAGCCACAAGTATTCTTCTTAGTGCCTTGGATGGAAATGAGTACAACCGAGTGATGAATGTCAATATTGCAAAACAGATTTGTGACACTTTGCATCTAGCACATGAAGGTGTTGATAAAGTGAGGAAAACAAAGATTGATTTGTTGATGGCTAAGCTCAATAGGTTCATGATTGTTGATGGAGAGGGGCCACAAGAGATGTTTGATAGATTGATGACCTTGGTGGGCAAGATTAGAGGCTATGGATGTGATGAGCTTGATGATCACAAAGTGGTGAAGGTTATGTTGGAAGCCTACTCACCAAGAAATGAGACCGTAGTTACCTTGATTAAAGATAAGAAGAAGTTTGAGCACTTCACACCTAATGATGTGCTTGGATGATTGTTGACATTTGACATGCAAAGAGAAGAAGCCAATGAAAGGAGAAGACTTGGTGAGTTGCAAGTCAAGCTTGAAGGCATGAAAATCAAGGAAGTAGCTCTCAAGGCCAATAAATCAAGCAATCAAGGCACCTCCACAAGGCAAAGGGCAGCAAGCAAGCATCAACAAGTCAACCCGAGGAAATCAAGTCAATTCCACAAAATGATGATCCAAGTTCATCCTCAAGTGAAGATGAAGATGATGGGGCTGATTACAAGAAGATTGATGACATTGCCTTGTTCATGAAGAGCTATCACAAGGGTTTGAAAAAGAATGGGTATAAAATAGTGCAAAGAAGGTTCCTAAACAAGAAGAAGAGGACTTGCTACAATTGTGGCAGCACGGAGCACTTCATTGCTAAGTGTCCCTATGACAAGAAAGAAAACAA